CTTTTTTTTTTTTTTTTTAAAGGGCTGGCGTGGTGGCACATGCCTTTAGTGAGTTCCAGGCCAGCTAGGGCTACAGGGAGACCCTGTCTCATAAAAAGAAAAAAACAAGCCAGCCATAGTGGCACAGGTTTATAATCCCAGCACTGAGGAAGCACAGACAGTGGACCCCTGGGGCTCATTGGCCAGTCAGCCTAGTGAGCCTTGGTGACATCTAGGCCAGTAAGAAACCTTGTCAGAAGAAAGCAATATGGGATTCCTGACCAGCTCCTGGTATTGTTCTTTGGGTCCCACACACACCAGTGTGCACCCATACTTGGATACATACTTACGAGTGCCCACATTAATGTGTGTGCACACACACAAAACCCCAAGTTTCCCTCAGGTGGACGTGCAGATACAGAGACCCAGCACAGGCTGGTCTTGAATGTTCGGGAGCAGTGGGGAGAGTCAAAAGATGACAGGTGACTCTGTCCTAGAGCTCCAGCTGGGGTAGGTGGTCTTTCTCTCACTGCCCAAGAGCCCACCCACGCTCCAAGGCGAGGACCTGAAGATGGAGACTCCAGCCCCACCCAGGGGTCCGTCCAAACCTCCTGAAGAAGCAGGGAGGGTCTACATAGGTGCCACACTGTCCCATGGGTCTGAGGGGAGCAGGTAGGAGGGCACAGCACTGGCATGGAGCCCAAGTTTGTGGCAGAGGTGACTATCCCCTGCCTGTGCTCAGTGGTAAGTGGTCTCGGGGGGTCTAGGTGCCAGTGGTCTAACGCTTGTGTGTTTCCTCTCAGGGCAGGGTTCTGTACAGTATGGATTGCCCTGTGGTCGGGTCAGGGAAGGTGACCCCTGCTTGGTGACATCACCATTTCCATCCAGGTGTTGGGCAGTGGAAGATGGGTGGGTAGAACCCTGGGCTCTGGCTCCTATGATGAACTCTGTGGCCCTCTCTAAACCATTCTAGGCCTCAGGACCTCCAACTCCATGAAGTGATGGGTGGGACATGAGTCCCTCTGCCCTAGACACTGCCATGCCTGGTGGCAGACTGTGACTTCTGTTGGTGAAGTCACCATGGTAATGGTGTGAACTCTCAAAGACATGACACCAGATACTCCTAACAGGCCCAGGCCTGAAGCTGTCCTGCTACACACCAGAGTCTTGCTTCTCTGCCCGCCCTAGGACACTCCTACAGGCCTCGGGCTGGACAGAAAGACCCTCGAGAGTGGGGGCAGGGCCTTGTCCATGGGGCCCAGCCTCCTCCCGCCCTAGGACACTCCTACAGGCCTCGGGCTGGACAGAAAGACCCTCGAGGGTGGGGGCAGGGCCTTGTCCATGGGGCCCAGCCTCCTCAGGGGGCAGTGGGCAGTGACCCAACCCTTGGCCAACTTGCTAAGCTCTTTCTGTTCCTTTGCAAGATTGGCTCAGCCCAGATATCACAGGGACCTCCAAACCATCACGAGATCACCCGAGTTCAGCACTGACGCCCTCTTAAGGACACAGTCTTGGTGCCTTTTTCTTCATGCCAGACAGAGCCACTCTCTCCAGGGAGGGGGTTGGGAGAACAAGCTGGGCTGATGGGGTCTGGGAGGGCTGGCTGCCAGGGTCTTCCTCCCTCAGCCAGGCTCCAGGGGACGCTTTGAAGCCCTTTGTTGGCTGGGGAGGCGGCTCAGCGGTTCAACACTCACTTAACATGGTTTAGTCTCTAGTGTCACAAGATAAAAAGTATATGTATTTGAAGAAGCCCTTTGCGTAGCTGGGCATGTGGTACACACCCATAATCCCAGCATTCAAAAGGCTGAACAGGAGGATCAATAGTTTGAGGTCAACCTGGGCTATATAGCAAGGAAAGAAAAAAGCAAAGGCGCACACCTTTAATCCCAGCGCTCGGGAGTCAGATCTGGGCAGGTGGATCTCTGTTCGAGGCCAGCCTGGTCATAAAAATGCCACTACTGCACGAATGTCATTTGCTGTGCTGGTCACTGATGTGGTTTTTAGGCCTTGAAGCTAGGGTTGGACCATCAACTGATGTTCTCCCTTACCAGCTGGTATAGTGCTCTGCAAAGCTATGAGAGTGCCAGCGCTCGGGAGTCAGAGGCAGGTGGATCTCTGTTCGAGGCCAGCCTGGTCTCCATAGCGAATCCAGGCCAGCTGCAAAAAGACCAAGATAAATAAATAAGGAAAAAAAGAAAGAAAGAAGGGAGGGAGGGCTGCTGAGGGAAGGCCTCCTGCTGCCTAGCTGAGCAAACTTCTTATTCTCTAAAAGAAAGTCTGTCAAGCCAGTGTCTCAGGCAGGCAAGGAGACCCCTTGCATGTGGCATCACTTGGGTGGAGGATGTGAGCTGGAAGGGACACTTGGGTGGTCAGCAGTTTGGACACCTTGTACACTCAGGGAGAGGAGGGTGCAGGATGGAGACCAGCAGAGCTGTAGGTTGAGGAGCTTGGCCTGGCTTCAGACCTGAACTCTCCACACCTGGGGGCTGGCAAAGGCATCTGTGCCCTGGGCTGCTGGCCATCAAGGGCGGTGCAAAGCTTCCATCAGGATCAGACAACGGAGCTTCCTCCCTCGGCACCCACCGCACATGAGGCCTGCCTGAGGGGCTGTTGAATCGGCAGCAGCCTGCCAGGCAAACGTCTCAAGCCCCTCGGGGGCAGGGGCTGTGATGGGTGACAGCACTTTGAAAGGCAGAGCTGACAACCGCAAGGTGCCCAGGAGAAGCTGCCACCGTGGGTGTGGAGGACCGCCAAGAGAGCGGCCTGAGGGTCTGCAAGCAGGGAGGAGGGTGTAGGGGTTCCAAGTGGCCCACTGAAGGGCCACCCACCAGGTGTACTACAAAGACCATTGCTGGGAGCTGGGGCACAGGAAGCCTGACCCCAAGGACACAACTGGTCTGACAGGAGGGTAAGACTTGTCTGCCTTCGGCGTCTGTGACCTCATGACACCCTAGGGTTCGGGTGAAGTACCCTTCCTCCCCTCTGACCACCTGCTCTGCCAGCCCTGGGGTGCACCAGGGGATGACTGATCTCCCTCTGGCTGGCTACCTGCTCTCCTAGCTAACAGTGTAACTGAAAGCACTGTGTGCCACAATGCACCTGTCTCCAGGGCACGCCAGTGGTTTTATCAGGTTCAGGGTTGTGCGCCTGTCACCGCCATCTAATCCCAGAATATCCCCATGACACCATCTATGCCCAAAAGTCTCTTTGTTCCTCAGCCCAGGACCTGGCAACCTAGGCGTGTGGATCTCTGCCTGTCCCAGCCATCTCACATCCGAGGCATCATGCCAGGGCTCCTCCCTGAGCATCGTGCTTTCCTGGCTCATCCTCCCTTACACCACTTTCATTTTGTTGCTAAGTAATATTCCACTGAGCAGATAGATACACAGACTTTCATCCTGTGTGATCTGGACATGTGGTGGGAAACCATACCTAGTCAGGCTGCTGTGAGCGTCCGTGTGCGAACTTCTCAGTGCACAGGATTTGGTTTCCATCAGGACCACAGCTGGGAGGTGGCTCAACTGCTCTCCAGTTTCGCCTAGACCAGGAGCTGGCTGCCAGCAGGGATGGGGCAACTGCATCCTTCGTGGGGTTTGTGTGGCTCTCGAGCCCCAGAGTGGCTGCACTTCCACCTACCCATGTGAAGTAGGCAGCCCAGCTTGGGCAGCTGTGTCTGCAGAGAGGGGCTAGGGCCAGTCCCGGAGCAGGTCAAGGGGAGGGCACAAGGCTCTCCACCTAGGCTGAGCAGCCTGATGCTTGGGGCTCCGGGCTGTGACAGACTCACAGCCAGCAGGGGGAGCCACTGGAGGTGGCACAGTTTATAGGATTGGCCAGGGAGGGCTCTGCTGGCCACTCTGGGTGGACCACAGCTGACACGCGAAGCTCTTAACGCCTTGCAGCTCCAGTTCTACTAAGCCAGAGGCAGGGGCCACAAGGTCCACAGGCTGCAGTTCTGAGGGGTGCCAGGGAGCCAGAGCTGTGGCCACACACAGAAACCCGCAGAGGCACCTCGGGGGCAAGCGGGCAGCCTGTCTGCAGTGCCAACTGGGTGGGGCCTGGTGTCCAGCCGTCAAGTCACCCCTGCCCTTGTTGGACTTTCAGTCTGCACTGGCCATGGGGGTGGGGGACCCAGGACGTCACCCTCACCTCTCCTCTCTGTTCCAGGGCTCAGCTCCCATCTTGGTTGTCATGGTGATCCTGCTTAACATCGGAGTCGCCATTTTGTTTATTAACTTTTTCATCTGACAAGATTGTCGCGCCGCAGAAGCAACGATGTACAAATGGAACATTAAACAGGAAACAAAAAGGGAAAGATCCTGCCTCGGACAGCCCCACGACTCCGTCTTTCCACAGAAGAACAACATGACTGGGTATCACTCACAGTTTGCCTTTTTTTCTGGGTAATGTTTTTTGGATTTTAGCCAAAATTCTTTGCTTGTGTAACTGCTGTGTGGCATGGCAGAAGGTGGCCAGCACGCTGCCCCTCCAGCTTGGTGTGAAAGAAGAGGTCCCAGCAGTCCAGCGGCCAGAGGATCAGCATCTTCGAGCTTCCTGCTGGGGGGTGGAAGGGGGCCACGGCCAAGGTGCCGGCTAGCCAGGCGAGGGGGAGGCAGCTAGGGAGTGCCAGCCTGGCAGGGGGTGGCACTGCCCTCCCGTTAGCTGGCAGAGTGGGCACGAGGCCCTAGGACAGGGCAGCCCAGGCTGCTTTCTGCTCTGAATCTGCTGCGTACCTGTGGGAGGAGAGGGAAGCCAAGCCCCTGCTCTTCTCCCCAGGAACAGACCACGATCCCCCTTCTCGGCACTGCCCCACGGCCCTCCTCAGGAGGCCACCACACCGGGTCTTACAGCAAAGTCCTCCCTGCTGTCCTCTGCTCACTCATTGTCGGCCCTGTCCAGCCATCCTCCCTCCAGAGCCAGGGAGGCCGTGCTGCAGCCGTCCAGGGCCAACCCCGATCTGGCTAGGCGCACCTGAGCCCTGATGCCAAGGGGGCATGGTCCATGTGCCCCGGACAGCCTGACAGCACGCCTGGGCTCTGAGCATGTGGCGTTTTGCACCTAGTATGCAGGATGTATATTCAGGCTTCCGTGTCCCTGGCAGTGACGCCCCATGAAGGACGTCACCTCTCACTGACCTCCACGGGGTCTCACATCTTTGCACTGTGCCTGCCTCGACTTCCCCAAACAGATATGCATATTCCCTCCAGATGCCTCAGTGCTACTCCAGAGCCAGTCTGGTCCCGGGACAGGAATGTGGTTGAAACCCAGTGGCTTGAATGTCCTGGAGACTGTTGCATACCCAGCACTCCCTGGATGTACAATGTAACTTGTTTCAGTCAAACAACAGGCTCCTCATGTCTCTGCCTTCTCTACCAGGGTTGTTCCCTCATCCAAACAAATGAACAAGGGTTGCCAGCCTGCCTGGCCCTCCCGTGGCTCTGTCCGTCTTCTTGGATGCAGCCCGTCTTGTCTTATGGACTCTGCCTTGCTTTGCTTACGTTCAGCTGTCTCTGCTCCCTTTCAAGCAGATTTCTTTACTACACTGCACTGGATTGCTATATTTTTAACCAGAAATAAACTACAGATTAGAGCATGTTCCAGCTACACTCAGTTTATTGCTTCCGTTACCACCCACTGCCCGTCCCTTCTCCCAGGCTGGTTTGGTTTGGGGGTCGTGGGGAGGGCTCAGCAGGTGACCCGGTGCATTTCTGGTGATTGTTTCTAAGCGGTTACATCTTTTTGTACAGCTTACTTTTCCGGTCCTCTTTTTTAAAATCAAGTGGTCGCTGCAGGTCTGGCGTGAATCAAATAAAGATCCTGCTCTTCGCAGCTCTGAGAATCGTCCTGCTGAGGTGTGGTTTGTACTTCTGTCTGCTCTGAGTAGGGCTTACTTTGTGCACCCCAGGAGCTTTGAGACACATGGTACCCACTCACACACAGCATGCTTGCTCACACCACCCTGACACACACACAACGCAGCCCAGTGTCTGTCGCAGAGCGCAAGCTAGTGGCCTCAAGCCCAAGTGGCTCTTGCAGGTGATGTCATTCATCTGCTGCTGGAACTATGCCCAGAGCACCAAATCCATAGCCTATGGGTTTCCTGGCTGCACAAGCCAGCTCCCTGGTCCTGCAGCCTATGTGGAGGGGAGCTGCTTGCCCAGGGTCCTGGGGCAGATACGATGGAGACTGAGACACACACACTGGGTCTTGGGGTCTCTAATAAGCTGACCTTTGGTTGGTTTGCACCCAGGCAATGAAAGAGGCAGCCTGCTGCAGCCGGTGGCCACTGCGGCCTGAGGCCCCAACTATCCTACCCGCGCAGAGCCCACCATCTCCCTGACAGCCTAGTGGATGTGTCATGTTGAGCAAGACAAGGATTTAGTTGTTGAGGACAGAATAGTGTGTCATTTTGGCTCCCAGGGCACACAGCACCCAGTGCAGCCTTAGAAGACCCACTTTCAAACCAGAGGTGGAGGGAAACCGAGATCCTATCTCAGGCCCTGTAGCAGGGTCTCCCCAGCGCTGCCGATGGCGCCCACCCTGGAGGCCATGAAGAGATGAGACTTTCGGTGCCTGCAGTGTCACCGCATGACTGTCAAGCATTCAAGGAGCCCCAGCACTGCAGACCTGTGCCATTTGAAGCTGCTAGCATTTCTATTTAAAACTTTGTAGTCAGCACACAGGATTCCCACAAATACAACCAGGCACAGCACAGCCCGAGATGACTGATAACGGTGATAGTGACCAGAAATTCCACACAGCTACCAGGATGCTGTGGCCATGCCCAAGTCACTGGGGAGTAAGGAGAGCAGCCCGCTTTCCTAAGAAAGCCTTGACACTCAACACTCAAGGCATGCATGGACAAGCACATTGCCAACATCAGTTTCTTCCTCACCCACAAGAACCCAGCCCACCACTTCAGGACAGGCTGGTGCCCAGGGCAAGCCAAGGGAGGCATCCCAATTCCAGCCCGTTCCTGCTCACTGGCAAACAGGCTGTTAAGACAGATCATGGAGCCACCGGCTGGCAGGCTGGACACTGCCAGAGCCACGGAACCCTGGAGGCCGTGCTGTGGGCACCAGTGACGCACATTTGGGGAGCACGAGTTCCTGGGGTCCTGTCCTTTTCTAGTTTGGGTCTTAGTTACCTTTCGGGGACTTCCAAACACCTTTCACAGGCATCTAGTTCTTACAGGCGAGCTGTTCCAGCCAGTTGTTGGCCGGCTCGTCTGTCCTGCTCGGGGTCTGGTGGCTGCTGAGTCCATCTGCCTGCAGTGCACGTCTCCAGGTGATGGCTGAGGGACAGATTTCTCTTCCAGACTAAGCTCAGCTTTGCTGACTCTCCTGGTCTTTCACCTTTTGTCTTTGGTTTCAAAAACTCAGCATAAAGGTGCCTATGAGATTCTAAGGGCGTCTCCATGCTCAGTGCACTGATCTTCCTGCGACAACTGACAGCTACAACCCACTGATTCCGGCTGACCCTGCAGTGGTCACTTTTATGTGGACCACTTATCACTCATGTCTAACAGAGTTGAGAGTCCAGAGAAGTGGGTGTGGAGGCCTCTGAGCTCTGCTGTCTTGCAGAGGCCCAGCTGCAGGTCAAGCAGCCAGAAGCAAAGAGACAACGATTGTCTCCAAGTGCCAAGAGCTGGTGAATGTAACTCAGCCTTCAGAGGCGAGGAGCAGCCCAGCTGCCTTTGTTGGAAAAAACAGTACTCAAGGATCCCGAGAGGTGGGAACAGGCCTGCAGACCCAGGTCCTGCAGAGACCAGCTGGGGGCTTTCCCTGTCCTTCCCTGAGCTCCACTAGGTCTGAGTGGTAGCAGGCCAGCCAGGGTGCGGGCGTGTGGCAGGGAGTGGGTCTTCTGATGGCTCTGTGCCCTCCAGACTCTCAGATGCTGTCCTGGAGTCTGCTTCACAAACCCCCATTGAGGCCAAGTGACAGAGAGGTGAGTGGGACAGCCATCCTCTGGCTCAGCTCATTCCTAAAGGTCAGCGAAATACTAGGGCTACATCAAGGTGGGGGAGTGAGCTCATGTCACAGGAGCTGGGACTACTGGGGACCCACATCGAAGGCTTCCAGGGTTGGCAGAGCAGGCAAGGCAGCACCTCACACCTACCTCACTTCTGGGCTGGCCTGACCCCCATCTACCCCGGCCGCCGGTCAAGATGCCAACACCCATCATGCGGTGTATCTCAAATGCATTTTGCCAGTGTCTAGGTCCACGCACTGATGGGGTCCCGTCCTTGTTCTCTGCAGCCACCCCCCCCGCCCACAGCTGCCGTTGACTCTTGGCTGGAGACCAGTTGTTCTCTTCCTTGACCACGGCATGCTTTCTGCTCACCCCGGACCTTGCCTCACCTGTAACGAAGGGAAGCCCAGTGCCAGGGCTGACTCAGAGGGTAAGGCCCGAGGCCTTAGTGAGGTTCTGAGGGCCTAAGGGCCCTGCAGCCTTCACCTGCAGCACAGCGTCCCTCACCCTGTGAAGTGCAGCCCGCGAGGCACCTTGTCCCCCAAAGGTGGTGTTCTCTGTTCAGACCAGCATCTACTTTACATAGGAAGGCTGACTATAAATCCAAAAACCAACCCTCACAGGTCACCAGGTCCACAAGACAGCATGGTCCTCCAGTCAGCATGGAGGCTGCGTTCACTCCACTATCAGGGTAAGCAGACACTAGGCACAGGCTGGAAGAGACCGAGGGGACATGGGGGGTGGGGTGGGGTATAGGGAGCTGTTCCTCCATCACAGGGCTGACCTGACAAGTCTCTGCTCTTCTTAAAACCTTCTACCTTGAGTGCCGCCCCACAAGAAGCAGCCCAAGACAACACCCTCTCGCACACTCTGGGCAGCACCCCCTGCCCCCACCAGAGGCCAACCTTGAGTGCTCTAGCCAGAGCCTGCTGACCACACCACTCACCACTCCCAAAGGCCACCCAGAAAGCCTGAGGGCTGTGCGGCAAGTCTCGCACAGCCACGGGCCTCCTCCAGGTGGAAAGCCGCTGCTGTAGATGCCTCTGTGACTGACCAAGTCTTCAGTCGCTTTGTCTAATTTATGTCCTCCTGGTGCATGTAAACTGTTCATTAATGTGACATGACTGGCTGCGTTGCGTAGACGAGGAGGGAACGTCCACCAAGTTTTCTTACTGATGCAGTGGCTGTCACCCATTTGGCATCTTTTGGTTGGAAGCAGCTTGGTTAATCAAAAACTGGAAACACGATCCTCTCTAATGAGTGTAACTGTTTAAATCTGTACCCAACACCCGAACACAAAGGACACTGCAATGCAAGGAAACTTTAGTCCTTTCAGTAATAAACATCATCTGAAACTACGGGAAGCTTGTTTCATTACAAACCTGGCTACCTGGATGCTCCCACCACTGCACAGGACAGACCCGAGCCCTCTGCTGTCCTGCACCTCCCAGTGCGGCTGGAGCAGGAACCCCAAGGGAGCCCCTGGCCTGGCCTTCCCTATGATTAGCTCTGCTCCGGCACCAGGCAGCAAGTACATCTTTTCCTGTCACACCTGACGCTGAGGAGCATGCCCAGGAAGGTGCCTGGTGACACACACCGTCTTTGGGGGTGGAAAAGTGGGGCGGAGGTAAGGAATGAGCTCTCGTGCAGTCTCCTTCCCGTCAGACTATTATCCCAACTCTCCCGGCTTGGTGGTGTCTCTGGGACACGCTTCAGCCTTCCAAGTGTGGCCTCTGGGCAGCTTCTCAAGCCCCTGGTGACTGAGACCAGGGAAAAAAGGGGCTTGGGACCTGCACTGTGGCCACCTGCTGTGCTGGCTGCTGCCTGGGTTTCCCTGGAGACTGCTGTGTCCTCAAGGGTTAGGGTTAGACCTCAAGTGACCAGGCGTGCTGAAGCTCTCTGGTCAAATAGCAGTGACAATCCCCTGGGTTCCTGAAACTCAACTGGGCCTGGGGCGGACACTGGCTTTGCTATCCAGTGTTAATCTGCCGGAAGAGCAGCGTCCAGCTTCCAGCACACACGGACCCAAGTGACAGAGGTAAGTGACCTCACTGTCCAGGGCTGCAGCTCCGCTCTCTGACCCTTCCTGCAGTGCACTGGAAGAGTTCCTGTGTAGCTTGGTCATCCGCGTCTGACCAGAACCAGCTCCTAACACTGAGTGAGGCTTGGTCATCCGCGTCTGACCAGAACCAGCTCCTAACCTTGAGGGAGGCTTTGTCATCCGCGTCTGACCAGAACCAGCTCCTAACCCTGAGGGAGGCTTCTGGCTTCTAGCTGGTCCCTCGTGACTCTCCACTTGTCACCCAGTCACTGACTTTCTACTTGTAGAATCAGAATAAACACCACTGTCATACAGTAACAAGCACGCTCACAGGGACAAGGATTTCGTTTGTTGGGTAGTTCCCTTTGTTTTGATTCAACTCCACCAACCCTGAGATCCAGGGCCTTTAAGCAATCGCCCATCCTCAGCTAACAGGCCTCAGGTGGACAGCTCAGCTGCCTCTGGGAAGGGAACAGGGAACTGAGGAGCCATGCTCAAACCCTGAAAGGCCCACCCAGGGGCCACAGATTGAGTGCCAGCTGCCTGCAATTCCTCACCTGGGCGTCCACCCACACTCCAGGGACCCTCAAAGCTATGTGGGCAGCAAGGGACAGGTCACCAGGGGGCTAGACAGGCCACCAGGTGGAAGCAGGACACCCCAGGGGGACTCCTTTGCAGCCACCAGGGGTACCCTTTCCTGATGACCCTCCTCAACAGCCTGGGTTGCACAGGCCCCAACTCTGTCCTGGTGTCTCCGAGAGATCAGGTGGCTCAGCAGTCCTGAGGTCTGGCTGACCAGGGTGCATCCTTCCCTCCTCACATGCTTACACATAAGGTGTGTCTTCCCGTGGGTCAACCTCAGCACCCAGTCCAGCGGCCGCTTCACCCAGGGGCTCAGCACAAACAGCTTGCTCCTTGGGGCGTATTTGTTTCTTGTTGGGAATTGGGGTCACTATGGAGCTCAGCCTAGTCTGAACTCTGCCATCCTACCTCAGCTGTGAAACAGGCACCAGCATGTCAGGACACCAGACCTCCCCTACTCTCAGCACAGGGCCGGTAGAAGAGGAGGGACTCCTTGCCCTGTAGCCCTCCTGTCATCTCACAGACGACAGCCCGATGTCCAAAGAGGAAGGGAGAGACAGCACTAGAATGTCCTCCTCAAAAGGACTGCAATGATGGACGTGGTGAAGCGCACTTTAACTCCAGCTCTCAGGAGGAAGAGGCAGGCAGGTCTCTGTGTGAGATGAAGGCCAGCCTGGTCTACGCAATGCGTTCTAGGCCAATGGGGGCTACAGAGACCCTGTCTCAGGAGGGGGACTGCAACGGAGGGGTTGGAGAGATGGCTCAGTGGTTAAGAGCCTACATGCACTGACTGAAGCTGGACTCCCAGCACCCTTGCCAGGCACCTCACAACTACCTGTAACCAGCTCCAGGGGATCCAATGGCTTCTGGCCTCTGTGGAAACCAGAATACAGACACATTCACATTAAAAAAAAAAAAAAAAAAAAAAAAAATCTTCAAAAAGAGATTGCCACAGAGCAGAGAGACACACCAAAGTATCCAGAGCACAGAACAGTCCACCACAGGACAAAGCCAGGCTGACGGGCACAGCACACAGCTGCAGACACACAGCTCCTCAGGGCAACTCGTCTCCTTGTTTTGTAGAAGGAAAAATGACCTCACAGAACACAGTTCAGCTTTATTAGGTCAGAAATGTGTCCTGCGGATCCCTCATTTCACCTCTCACCCTAAGCTCTCCTTGGTGTGGGCAGAACCACGTGGAGGCATGAAGCTCTTAGACTGCATACTTGGGGTACACAGAACACAAGCTCAGCAGGGTCTTGTCTGGCCTGGTTTATTTCAAAGGACAGCAGTGTTGTGGAGGCCGTCGCTCAGGTTAACGCTGGTCTTGTGCAGCATCTTGAATTGACTCATCAAAGAATGTTTTGGCCATGGCCTGGGCCACCTTCAGTGCTCTCTTCTCCTTTGCTTCGGGCCCCACGTGGTTCCACGCCAGCTTCAGCCAGTACTGCTCGGTCCTGGGCAGGTAATCTGCATACTGCTCCCCAGGCACCACCTCCGGGTGCTGTGGGTCTTTCCATCAGGGAAGGAGAGTGAGAGAGAAGCGTGCTCAGTCAAGCAGCCCAGAGGCCTCTAGAGAGGACCGCGCTGCCCAGACTCTGGCGGCCCACACCCACCCAGGACGTGAGCACCAGCACACAGTGGGCCTTGCCTCAGAGGCGCCTTCGCAGAGTCCAGCCTCAGCCTAAGGCTCTCACCTGCTTCCTCCTCACCACTGTCCTCTTCCTGGTCCTCATCCGCTCCTTCTGCACCTTCGTCTGAGCTACTGTCCTCTTCTGAGTCCGTCTCCTCCAGCCACTCCTGCATTTCTGACAAAGCAAAACCAACAGGATGTTCTGGCTACAGCCTGGAGGCCAGGGGAAGCACACAGCACAGGACCCCATCTTCCACTCAGGGACTAGAATAGGAACCCTAACACTTCTGCGCTGAAGCTCCAGATCAACAAAGCAGCACGTGACTCCCGGGCCTTGGAGCAAACTAGGACTGAGACATGCTGTGCAGACTCCAGCCACGCTGCTGTCGCAGCTTTGGGCGGGGGAGTGGAGACTTCTTAGGGGGTCCCTTCCAGCCCCTGAGGTTCCCGAGAACGGGGACATATCATGCCCTACAGTTAGTGCCTTTCAAAACCTCGTGCGCAGGCTTTAGTCTCCGATTTCAAAAATGTAGAAGTCACTCTGGTCCAGCAGTAGCTGGAGTAAACGGGTGAGGATATCAGGGTAAAGACGGAGGTCACTGGTTCCAGCCCTGGCCCCTCGACACGGGTAGGTGAGTTCTGCCTGGTCTGCACTGGTTTCACCATCACTCAGGAAGGCAGGAGGCACACACAGCAGGTTTGATCTAGGTACCAGTGATCTGTGCTGGCACCCACCTTGTTCCTGCTAGCACCCAGGAGGGCATGGGTGTGTGCCAGGTGCCCCCTGAGCAAAACCTAGCCCGAGGCAACAACAGGGCACCCTGCAAAGCGGGGCAGAAACTTGCAGAAGACAGAAATGAAGTCAGGGGCTCTTAGTCCACACAGGGGCTCTCCTCCCCACCCGGCTTACTTGGATCCATCTCCACCAAGGTCTTCCATTCTTCCATCTTGTGGAGGTCAAGGCAATACAGGTCATTGAGGGTCACCTGGCGGTCGCCGGCTTCAAACATACCACCATAGACATAGAGCAGTCCATGTTTGACAGCCAGCATGGCATTGGAGCGCGGACAAGGCTCTACGCTAGGGCCGCTGGCCTCCACAGCACCATTCTCATCCTCGGGTGGGGGCTGTCCCACCACCCCGGAGGGAGCAAGCACTTGTCGGATGGTGACCACAGTCCCGTCTTCAGATACCACCTCTGTGATCACCTCCAGGGGCTCTGGCACGTCAGCTCCACCGCAGTCCCGGTCAGCAGCACCTTCACTCTCCTCTGCTCTGCCCCGCCTCCGTCTCTTCTTCTCCAACTTGGGGCCCTATTAATACAATTGAAGCTGTACAGGAGGGCAGAGGGCAGCCCTCTTCCCTCTAACACGCCAGCCATGGGTTTGTGGGGATAGGAGTATGGGACTGAGGTGGGAGGGACAGTGGGTCGGCAGGAATATACCCCTAGCCATTGGTCAGCTTGCTCACTGCAGGGGTGGACTAGTCACCCTTGGGTCTCACACTGCCCCTCAGTCGGACCTGGCCGAACACTCTAGCAGCGGGCGCCTGAGGCTCTTGGGGAAATCCAATCCACCCACAATTGTTATCCACAAAAAGGCTGCATATTCCCATCCTCAGCCAACAAGAGGGTCAGCAGTCCATACCAATCTCCTGGGCCACACCTTGAAGTAAAACCCTCAGTCACCAGTCCTCAAAAGGTGCATTCCCATTGGGTCCCCCCTGCTACTCTGCAGGATACAGCTGGGCAGCTGTCACAGCCTCTGCCATTAGGCAGAATGTCATCCTCAGAAGACGACGTCTGTTATGTGACAGTCAAATAGTCCAGCTATCACCATGCAGTCAAGCCTGGTCAGCTCCCTGTTCTAAACAACAAGTCGAATTTGTTCGGAGGCTGCACAGGGGGCTTCACCAAGGGCCACTCCACAAGAGCATGGGGCCAAGGACAAGCAGCCCGAAAACCATGATGCTAGCCAGCCACTGGGGTTGAGTGCTCTCGGCAACGCCACAGCAGCCATGCACGGTGATGTCTGCTGTAGCTCCTCATTGGGGACCATGTGTGCAGAGCTGCTTTCTCCCGGAGACCCTCCTACGGGTGCTGACCAACAGCAGGCACTGCTGCCTCCTGCACCATGGGCATCCCAGCGTGGACACCGGGGCTGCCCAGGGCCCTCCGGGGACTAGCGCCTCTGTTCTGAATGGGCCAGAAGGTCCTTGGCAGCAGCTGCACTCTAAGGACAGTAGAAAGGCATCAGGCAACCAGGGATGTGCTCAAACAGTAGATAGGAACAGACATACTCGCATGCACCCAGCAAACAGGAACCGGGGGGCGCTTAGCACGTCAGCCCCAGGCCAGAACTGCCAGGCAGTGTTTGCTGGTACCCACAAGGAGATGGGGGGCACCAAATCAAGGGTCCCAAGCCAAGCCACCTGGGGCCCACACAGAACACTCCGTCCTCCAGAAGGAAGCACCAAGCTGTGAGGGTGAGGATGAGTGGGAGATGGGCTGCCAGAGCCACCCTCCCAGCAGCTGACGGGGAAGGCTCTCTTCATGAACCTAGGCTACCTTCAGCTGTCCCGCAAACCAGCGGTTCCTGGTGGCATCATAGAAGTACAGGTCATTGAAGAACATGCCCTCCAGACTCTCCTCCTCTTCCTCATCACACACACCCCCAAAGACAAGAGTCTGATGATTTGGAATCACAGCCACAGAAAAGCCGGACCTTGTGGTGGGCCTGACTCCTGAAGGGTTAATCCGGGTCCAGGTCCACTTGCCTGTCAAAAAAAAGAACAGAAAGGTCACTGAAACTAACCAAGGACTCACGGAGGACTTGGGAACCTGGGATAAAAAAAAAAAATGAGCATGTTTAAGAGCCCATGACTGAGTAGCAAGGGCCTCACTCTGCTGCCTCTGGAAGAAGAGATGCCAGTCAACAGCCCTCTCAAGGCTTGGCCGTAGGGCAGTGCCTATGCCCCAGGCCCCTCTTCCCAAGAGACCCTGGCACCAGTTGCGAAGAGACAGACAGGTGTGGAGGTGGCTTCAGCAGGGGGCCACCTTGCTAGAGGAGGCTCTTGGGCTAAAACATGCCTCACTGGAGTCCCAAGCCAACCCAGCCCAAGACCTACAGATCAGCGTCACCTCTCCTCTGGAGACAGCTGCTCTGTGCTCTGACAGTGTGAGAGCCCTGGCTATGTGGCCTCTGTGATGTATAGAGATCCGCTACTGGAGGAAACAACTGAGATGTTTCCCTCCGTAGGCATTAAAAAGTGATGGTGATTACGCACTGGGTGGGCAGACAAGACCCACAAGGCACAGTGCAGGCAGGACTTGGAGCCTGTCACTCGTCATGAGGCCAACTCATCACAGCAGCAAGTGCTGTGGGGAAGGACCAGAGAATGAAACGTCAGCAGGCAGCATGAAGCAGGTGAGACCTGCTGTTTGGCTCTGTGACCATACATTCAGTGCTGATTCCCACACAGGACGTCCTTTTCCTGGGGCTGAGTTGCTGAGCACACAGACCAAGTCCACACTGTCTGGAAGAGTCCAGCCTCCAGGTTCAAGTTTCTGATGTGTAAACTGGAAGCCTCGTAAGGCCACTAACCAGAGCTACTGTGTGTGCAGTGGCAAATGACCTCACCAGCCCCCACCAGTGCAGGGCGCTGGGTCAATCCAAGGCCTGTCAGAAGAGCAGCAAAAGGAGAGAGACTGCTCAGTCTCCGCACTTCACAGCAGCGTGTGCTCCCACGGGGTTAAAGAACAGAGTCAACTCGGCGGCAGTCCTAGTACCAGAGCTGAGCACCACCACCCACACTAGCTTCCCAGGGCCTAGTCACGGCCTGGGCAGTGGTGCTCCTGGTTCCCAGTGGGACGGGGTTCCAAGCCCCAGAGAATATATCCTAGTATTGTTCATTTGCTCTTGAGCAAGAACATTCTTTAAAACATCACGAAACGGCAGCAGGGTCACAGCCCTCCTTTTCCATCTCTCGCCCCACGCCTACCCACATATGCTTCCGTGCCTTGGGGGCCTGAGCACACGTGCACAGTGCCCCTGCCCAGAAGTGCTGTCCTCAGTCCTATCGCTAAGCATGAAGGCCACACTGGAGAGTAACAAAGTGCCCCACGTGGCTTGTGGAGGGAAGACAGATGGCTGAGGCCCAGGGCTCATGTTAAGGGCTTGCCCATGTCAGACAAGGCACCTTGGCTCAGTCACTTCAGGGAAAGGTAGTCTGGCCCTCAGCTCTGAACAGGCTGCAGGGAGTTTGCTACAGCCCCCACTTCTACAAGAGGGGAGCATGGGTTTGCCTCTGCCCAAGGACCACACACAGCCCACCCAGGGCCACAGAGTCAAGCCACAGGTCCTCCAGGCAGAGCAGTACCTTCTCCCCCTTCCTCAGGCTTCAGCAGGAACATGTCTGAGTGCTGGGTACCTTTGTCCACATCTTTCTTAACTCTCTGCAAAAGAAAGGTGTTGTGAGACAGCAGGGCACGGTGGCTGCATGCAGGAGCTGCAGCTCTACAGTGCGCAGACATGGCTGACTGATTCTAAATCCACCACCGACGAGCAGTTGTGCTGGAACACTGGAGCAGCCTCTGCTTCAGAATTCCTGTGGGCTCCACAGGTCTGCACCATGTGGCAGAGTTCAGTCACCTCACCCCGACTCGTATATGCCCTCAGCTTCCACCTCTCAGATGACAGTCGCACTGGTGCTGTGCGGAAGGAAGCCAGCCACCACCACTTCACACCTTCCCCCACTTCTCAAACCAGCTGTGCCCATTACTTTCTGTCAACCTGACACGAACCAACGTCACCTGGGAAGAGGGACCCTCAGCTGAAGAACTCCTCCATCCACTTGGCCTGTGGCCATGTCTATACGGCATTTTCTTAACTGCTAATTGATGTAGGGGGACACAGTCCACTGTGGCATTCCTGGACAGGTGGACCTGAGCTATGCAGGAGGGGTGGCTAAGAGGTCAGAGGAAAAGAGACAAGAAGCAGTGTTCCTCCACAGTCTCTACTTTAACTCAATTTCCTGGAAGCCCTGGGCTCCCTCAGTGACAGACTGTTAGCTGCACGTGTGAGAGGAAGTAAAGCCTCCTCCCCAAGTCGGCTTTGGTCAGTGTCTCATCACAACAACAGAAAACAGACTAGACACCAGCAAAGCCCAACCCTCAGCCTTGAGCTTCCGTTTCACTGGCTGGCCTGTGACTCGCTGAGATCATAACATACTTGCCTCCTACACAGCACCCCAGGGCCCAGACAGCTGCTGGGCAAGATGTTCACCCTGAGGAGGACACCAGTCCACCTAAGCTTCTATCTTGTATTTGTCCGAGCTTAAATTCTCAATTTTAAGAAAAGATTTTTATTTTATGTGTATGAGTGTTTACCTGCGTGTATGTATGTGCACCACAAGTGTGCAGTGCCCACAGAGGCCAGAAGATAGCTTTGGGTCCCTGGACCTGGAGTTACAGGCAGTTGTGAGCCATCTGATGTGGGTGCTGGGAACTGAACCTGGGTCTTCTACAAGAGCAGCCAGTGCTTTTAACCACTGAGCCCTCTCTCCAGCCCCTAAATTCTCAAGGTAATTAAGGTACCCGATTCAATGGGATGTAGCACGGAGCAGCAGGAATGAGGGGGAACCGCAGGCAGTGCCTGGATGGCAGGGGTGGGTAACAGCTCCTCCTGCAGTCTAAGATGAGAGCCAATCAGGGACACAGGAGTCAACAGAGTATAAACAGAAGAGGTCAGAACAGGGCCACGTAAACAGAACCAGTCGGAACAGGGCCACGTAAACAGAACAGGTCAGAACAGGGCCCACATAAACAGAAGAGGTCGGAACAGGGCCACGTAAACAGAATAGGTCAGAACAGGGCCCACATAAACAGAAGAGGTCGGAACAGGGCCACGTAAACAGAAGAGGTCGGAACAGGGCCCACGTAAACAGAAGAAGTCAGAACAGGCCCACGTAAACAGAAGAGGTCAGAACGGGGCCACGTAAACAGAAGAGGTCAGAACGGGGCCCGCGTAAACAGAACAGGTCAGAACGGGGCCACGTAAACAGAAGACGTCAGAACGGGGCCACGTAAACAGAAGACGTCAGAAAGGGGCCACGTAAACAGAAGACGTCAGAATGGGGCCACATAAACAGAAGACGTCAGAACGGGGCCCACGTAAACAGAAGAGGTCAGAATGGGGCCCGTGTAAACAGAACAGGTCAGAACGGGGCCACGTAAACAGAAGACCTCAGAACGGGGCCACGTAAACAGAAGATGTCAGATCAGGGCCCACGTAAACAGAAGAGGGCAGAACAGGGCCACATAAACAGAAGAGGTCAGAACAGCCCATGTAAACAGAAGAGGTCAGAACAGGCCCACGTAAACAGAAGAGGTCAGAACAGGGCCCACGTAAACAGAAGAAGTCAGAACAGGCCCACATAAACAGAAGAGGTCAGAATAGGCCCACGTAAACAGAACAGGTTAGAACAAGGCCCACGTAAACAGAACAGGTCAGAACAGGGCCATGTAAACAGAAGAGGTTAGAACAGTGCCCATGTAAACAGAACAGGTCAGAACAGGGCCATGTAAACAGAAGAGGTCAGAGCAGGGCCCACGTAAACAGAAGAGGGCCGACACTACACCAAACATGACCAGCAAAGTTCCTGAAAATACAACTTATCAAAAGGACACAGGGATCTGCCGAGCTCTGCCTCTGACGCAGAAATAGAACTTAGCACTAAAACCTGCCCACCAAGAACATACCAGGCCCAATGGGCTTCTTAGTAAGTCACACTCAACACACCAGGGATAAACACCAGCAGCTAGACACAAGATCTTCCACAGGACAGAGGAAGGGATGTTCCCAACATGTACCGGGCAGCAAGCAGAACGTAATTCCAAAAGCCACAGAAAGCAACCCCAAATGAGCACATTCCCGCCAATCTAAATGGGACACTAGCAGATCAAGAGGACACGAGGGGGAAGACACCTCAGGACCAAAGAGGCCACACATATACAAAGCTGCTCAACGCCAGTCAGTCAATCAAGAGTATTCACAAGAGAACGGACTAAACAGAAATGCATGATTACATCAATAAACCAAGTGCGTGTAACAAAACTCCCAGCACACGGAAGAGACTAAAACCTGGAACTCAGAGGACCGCCATGAGGCTCAGCCAGCACTCCACTCAGTGGTGCCCAGAGGCCAACTTCTTCACTCAGGGCAGACAGCAGGAAAGCTTGGAGCTACCTGCACGAAGGGTCACTCACGTGATCTCAGTGAGCTTCGAACTACGGACCTGTGGAAAGCCCGGTCACACATAAGAGAAGAAAACGTGCTCTCACACTCCAGCAGCCCAGGGTCAGAACGAGAAGCCAGGACATCCACGTGGGCAGGGATCACTGCAGCTACCACGCAGGCGCAGCACCCTCAGGAAAGCACGTCTTCTGAACAAGTGGGCCAGAATGAGCACATGCCAAGGGATACAGGAACCCGTCACTTGTCCACCAACAACTGACAGAGAACTCCACACATACTGGTTAAGACAGGTCACGGAACCAAGCACAAGGGAGGAATGTGTATCACTTTCAAGAAGAAATCCTCGTTACCAAAGGTAAACAAAGTCTTAGACAACAAAGAAACATCACAGATTAGATTTCAAACAGCTTCCGCTCCTCGTCCAGCACTGAGGCAAGAGAGTGCAGAGCAGCAAACCCCACAGAGAACTGATGGCAAGACAAGCACACGAAGGGACCGAGCACTCCTTCAATTCGGTAACTGCGCAGCCCCTCCAACAAGACACAAATGCACGTGTCAGGGAAGACTACAAATGGCTCATCAGCTCGTGAGAAGGGCCCAACAGCCACCATCAGAGAATCATGAATCACGGCCTCCTAGGAAACCACACGCCATCACAACACCTACGCATAAAAAATCAACACCAACAAGTGCTGACCAAGAGCTGGACGATCAGAACTCTTAAGGCATTTGAGGTAGAACTGGTTTCGAGACGCTGGTTCGTCACTGCAGACTGCTCCCCGGGTTTATTTAAGATAAATCAAAACATAGAGCCAAAGTCCACTGTGGAATGCTCACCACAGGCTACCCCCACGGTAGGGCTGGAAGAGCAAACGCCGTCAATAACAAATGCATCCACAGTCCTTCAAACAGTCAGATCTGAACTTCAGCACTAAGAAGCGATAAACCAGGGGACAGAGGAACGCATGTGACCTGAAAGTGAGGGTGGGGGTCCTGGGGCTAAAGGCTGAAGCGGAGGAGGGGGAGGGGAGAGGAAGAAACAATGAACTGAAAGTTCTGGAATACACAGGTAGGAAGGACCAGAGCAGGCCCCACTGCATGACTCTCAGCTGAGTACGTACTGTGCTGTGGGTAAACCAGGCTCCGGTCAACACCACCCTCCGCTTGCCCACACACATGTGCACTCAGGGATGGCACTGGCATTGTTCTTTGAACTACACAAAAGACATCAGACAGGACAGGGATACAGGTGCACGTGTCTACGTGATCAAGTACAATGAAACCGGAATAGCAGAACTGACTCAGGGCATGTAGGTACTCACTAGAGGATTCTTTCAAATTAACTGTCAATTTCCAGAACAGAAAGGATTTTAACCTCAACACAACAGCACTTCCTGTCTCAGACCCACAGCAGTGTCAGGGCTGGCAAAGTACCAAGGAGAGCAGGCAAGAGGGTGGCCAGCACCCATGGGCAGACTCCAGGAGTCACAAGTCCTGGACATGGGCCTAGGAACACCTCTCAGGCACCGTGTTCTAGTTTGCTTTTCCATTGTCGTGACAAAACACTCTGACCAACACCAACTTAGGGAGGGAAGGGTTTATTCGGTTACAAGTCTCCCAGATCGCAGGTGATCACTGAGGGAGCCCAAGGTAGGAACTCAGGGCAGGAACCTGGCGGCAGGAGCTAGAGCACACGCCATGGAGGAACACTGCTTACTGGCTTGCTCCTCTGGCCCCTGCTCAGCTTGCTTTCTTTTTTAAAAAAAAATATTTTATTATTTTTTATTCCCTGCATGTATGTGAGTGCACCCATGTCGTGCAATGCTGCAGAAGTCAGAAGAGGGCTTCAGATTACCCTGGAACTGGAGTTAAGGACAGTTCGTAGCTGCCATGTGGGTGCTGGGAATCGAACCTGGGTCCTCTGCAAGAGCAGTCAGTGCTCTTAACCGCTGAGCCATCTCTCCAGCCCGAGCCTGCTTTCTTATACAACACAGGCACCCCTGCACAGTGGGCTGGGCCCTCCCACATCACTCAACAACCAAGAAAATACCCCACAGATATGGCCACAGGCCCTACCAATGGAGACAATTCCCCAAATGAGGCTCCCTCAACCCAGACGTGTCAAGTTGACAACCAGAGCTATCCAGCACACTAATGAGACGAAATGTGTTGTGGCATGATCCACAGTGGAATACTATATGGTTACAGTGACAGCATCATGGTAGAATACTACATGGTTACAGTGACTCAGTGTTATGGTGGAATACTATATGGTGATTACAGCGACTCAGCCGTAAGAAGACCGCAAAAGACAGAGCTGTGCCCATCACAATGCTGCGGTGGGCGTGGGTTAGAACATGACAGGACTGAAAAGTCTCTGTATGTTCACAGGGCCACAGAACAGCTCAGTGGTCAAGTGCCTGCTGCACAGCATGAGGACCCTGGTCTGGATCCCAGCACACACCGAAGCCAGCACAGCAGCATGTGTAACCCTAGCACAGGAGAGGGAGAGGCAGGCACCTGCCAGCCAACTGGTGAGCCCCACGTTCCGTGAGAGGCCTGTCTCAAAAAAGTAAGGTGGAGAGCAATTAAGGAAGGCAACTCATGTTAACCTCCGCCTCCACACACACATACATGCACATACTCGTATGAACACGCACACACACACAACCATGGCAATTCATGTTAACCTCCACACACACACACTCGTATACACACACACACACACACACACACACAATGGCAACTCATGTTAACCTCTACCTCCACACACACATACATGCACACACTTGTAAGAATGAACACACACACACACCATGGCAACTCATGTTAACCTCCACACACACATACATGCCCACACTCGTATGAATGCACACACACACACCATGGCAACTCATGTTAACCTACACACACACACACACACACACACACACACACACACCACACCATGGCAACTCATGTCAACCTCCACCTCCACACACACATACATGCACACACGTATGAACACACACACACACACAACCATGGCAACTCATGTTAACCTCTGCCTCCACACATACATGCACACACTTGTATGAATACACACATACACACCATAAACACATACATTAATAATAAATCTCAGCTGGGCATGGTGGCACACGGCTTTAATCCCAGCACTCAGGAGGCAGAGGCAGGAGGTGCTCTGTGAGTTTGAGGCCAGCCTGGTCTACAGAGCGAGTGCCGAGCCAGCTGGGGCTACAGGGATACAGTCTCAAAAAAAAAGTCAGCCCTGCATGGTAGCCCACGCCTATAATCCTAGCACTTGGGGAGGCTGACGCAGGAGTATCCAGCCTGGTCTACATAGTGAGTGCCAAGCCAGCTGAGGCTACAGGGAGACCCTGTCTCAAAAAGACATAGATAAATCAATCTCTGTAGGTTCAAAGAGGAGCAGAGCTGTGCTGCCTGTCTACTGCAGCTCAATGTGGAGAATGGTTACATCGTTCTGGAAGCTTCCACCACTGGCAGACTGAAGGGTGACAGACAGACGTCCCCAGACTTCCTGCAAGTCAGATCTTACCTGCTTTGAGTAGCCCCCATAGATGGCTATGCTACCCTGGGGGGTGACAGCCATCAGGCAGCCAGACCTGGGTGCAGGCCCAGGGCCCGATGGGGACAGTTTGCTCCACAGGAAGGTGTCCAGGCTGAAGGTGTACACATCACAGTAGTAGATGTAATCCCTGGTGGACACAAGGACACAAGTCACCATAGAGAGGACAGGAAGAGGTGGGACATGAGTGTGCTCCCCGTACACTGAAGGAGTCCCGCTGCCCTCACCCAGTGTCTGCTTACAGTCTAAGTCCAGTGGAGGGCTGCAAGCACTTAGCTCACACTTGGAAATCAGAGACTCCAGCCACAGATGCAAGGTGATCTAACATCAAAGTCGTGCTATTTCCTAACTGCGCTGACAGCACCACCATCTTCTAAACAAGCCTGTGGTTACTGGATGTGACTGTGAGACTGAAAACGAATTCAAGTCTAACGGACCGTGAGTGCAGATATGTACAGCTTGGCAGGAACTGTGGCAAGTCCTTAGACTGAGGCAGGGATGGGTGAGCGAGCAGAGGACCCCTCAAAACCAGAGGACAGAAGCAGGGCCTTTGCTTCCACAACCCAAAGACAGGGACACACCACCTAATACTTGCCCTGCTCAGGGCCCAGGGACTCTGGAGCCCAAGCACTCGGCACAGGGAGGGGCATGGGAACAAAATAGTGAGACTTGCTGTTGTGGGGTGACTGTCACAGAACAAGACGCTGTCCTTCAGCTGTGCAGAAAGACCTAAAGTATTCACAAAGGAGAGGGGACAAAATTCTGTATCACAGTGCCTCTGAATAGCCCAGGGCCAGGGCTCTAAGCCACCATGCATAGGAGGGCTGCAGCAAAGAGCTGGCCCAAGGCGGTCTCTCGTGCCCTCCTGCAGTGCACAGTGGAGACTGCAGAGGCAGGACTGGCTGCAGCTGCAGCTGGAAGCTGGGCCCAGGCAGTCAGCCTCCCCTGCCCTGGAAAAGAGCTAGGTTGCCCTGGGAACTGCTAGCTGCTGCTCAAACCCACAAGCCCGCTCACATAACACAATGACGATGGGAGACTCCAGATTCTTAGAAGACTTACTACATTCCAGTTCCCTCAGGTTTCAAACTGCAGACTTTCAGCAAAGAAATTCTACTCTGAATTGAAGATAACTAGCAACTATCGCAAGAAAAACTCAGAAAGGTGGTAATTAAAAGTCAAACTAATTTAATACAAATGGTGACTGCACCGCTGTGAGCTCTTGTTTTTTCTGTGTGCCTCAAGCACTTCCTAAATAGTCAACTTGGAAAAAGATATGGGGGCTGGAGAGATGGCACTGCCTATTCTTACAGAGGGCCCGGGCTTAGTTCCCAGCACCCACATGGTGGCCGACAACGGTCCATAACTCCAGTTCCAGGGGATTCAATCTGCTCTTCTGACTGTGGGCATTACACAACACAGGTGCACTTACACTCATGCAGGCATACACTCATACATATAAATAATAAATTTTGGAAAAAAAAATGTGTGCGTGTACCCACACAGACACAGGTACCCAAGGAAACCAGAGAGAGCACTGGATCCCTGGAGCTGGAGTTACAGGAGGTTGTGAGCTTCCCGAGGTGGGTGCTGAGAACCAAACTTGGGTCCTCTGGAAGAACAGCAAGTGCTCACATCTGCTGAGTTGTCTCTTTAGCCCCCTAAATAGTTTTAAGTAAGATGACGGTTTGGGGAACGATTCTAATTTTAAAATGACTGCAAGTTAAAACCACTGTAAAACTGTGATTTGTCATTTATGGGTCTATAAAAGGCAGGGCTGTGCTGGTCCCGTACATCACCTACACATAGTAGGTGCTGACTTAATGTGTGGACAACGAAATCCTTACTACTTCACGCAGCTGCTGATGTGTGTGGCTGCCGAGCTGTGCACACTGACTTGGGGGGCAGTTTCTGATCAGCACTGTCAGCCTAGGCAACATTCACCCAGATGCCCCAGAAGAGGCCCAATCTTCTGGTGTGAGTACCAACCTTGTGCTTTCGTGGAAGCCACCAAAAAGAACTAACTGTCGCTTCCAGGCTACCATCCGATGTCCACTTCGACCAGAAGGACCTCCTGTTGATCTAAAATAGGGGAGGAGAACATTATAAAATTAATTATTTCTATTTTTTTAAGGGCTTTTTCCCTTTGACTTAAATTTTTGTTTTATTTTTATTTTTTGGTCTTTTTGAGACAGGGTCTCTCTGTAGCCCCAGCTGTCCTGGAACTCACTACGTAGACCAGGCTGGCCTCGAACTCACAGAGATCCACCTGTCTCTGCCTCCCGAGTGCTGGGATTAAGGCATGCGCTATCACGCCCGGCAAATTTTAATTTCTTAAATTTTTTTATTTTTGTGTGTATGAGTGTACTGACTGTATGTAAGTGCACCTGTGTAGTGCAGTGCCCTCGGTGGTCAGATGAGGGCATCAGATTCTCCTGGAACCGGAGTGATAGACGGCTGTTAGCTGCCATGTGGGTGCTGGGAATCAAACCCGGGTCCTCTGCAAGAGTGGCCAGTGCTCTTAACCGCTGGGCCACTTCTTTAAGCCTTTGTCTTCTGTTTCTAAACCACTCACTACATACCCTTTCATTCTCTCTCTGAGCAACCAGAATCATCCTGACAGTCTTGCTGGCTCCCTTTGGGCTCCTGGAGGGCCAAGAGGGCAGTTTGTGGAGGTAGGGGACTTGCCCACATGGCCGAAGGACAGGACTTCCAGAATAGCACAGGAGAGTTCCTGACCTTGGAGGAAACACTTCTTAGAAGTATTAGCGGGACTTTAACAAATAAAGAACTTTGAAACACGCTATTGAAAACATAAAGGTCCTGGGCACAAAGGGGCATGCCTGTAATCCCAAACTTGGGGGACTGCGGGCTCCATGGCTGAGCAGAAAAGAGAAGGGAAGGGAACGGGGACAGAAGGGGCAAGTGACTGACAGGAACACTTCCAAATACACAACTGACAGATGAGGTGTTCCAGCAATACCCGGAAATCCTCTAGTGCCTGTGTGTTCCTGAGTGTGCAGGCGCACAGGTGTGCCTGTGTGTTCACGAGTGTGCAGGCGCACAGGTGTGCCTGTGTGTTCACGAGTGTGCAGGCGCACAGGTGTGCCTGTGCATGTGGAAGCAGTCACTTTGTTTCTGAGACAGGACCTCTCACTGGCTTGGAGCTCATCAACAGGCTCAGACAGCCACCTGTCCCCACCTCCCCTGCACTGGGGTTACAGTGTGAGCCTCCATGTTTTACATGGGTTCTGGGGATCAAACTCAGGTCCTTGCAAGCACTTTACTAAGCCACTTACCTGACCCCAGGATTCTATCCTCATAGAATAGGTATGAACAAACCCCAAAAGATATGAACAGAAAGTTAACAAAAATAGAAAAAACACCTTGCAATGGCCCAGGCTGTGTGGGACTGAAAGACAGCACCATGCTGGCACAGAGCAGAGCCACTGGAGCCCACACATTCAGGGTGGGTGAGAAGGCAGACAGTGTGACCTGTGTGAGGCATCCATCAACAGGCACCAGCTGACAGATCCCACTGGACAAAGGGCAGCGCACACAGAGACCTGCTCCCATGGCAGAGGCTTTCTCGTAACTGTCACACTGAGCAGCCCACAACCTACTCCAATGGGTGATGGACACACTGGGATGTGTCCATACAACGAAGACACAGCAACCAAAGCAAGTGTCCATAGATACACGCAGCCATATGGACGGCTTTCACAAGCACCGTGAACAGAAGCAGGTGCCCTTTGACTCCACTTTGGGACAGGATCTTAGTGTAATTATACCTCAATAACATAGATATTAAATGCACAGCAAAAAAAAGAAGTAAATTTGAAAAAGCAAGTGGGTACTAACTAGGGAGACGGCTCAGTACATAAAGTGGGTACTAGGGAGACCCATGGCGAGGAGTGGGGGAGTGGTGTGTACTTACAATGCCAGTGCTGGGAGGCAGAGATAGGTGCACCCCTAGAGCTCACTGGCCAGCTGGCTTAGCAAGCTCCAAGCAGGTGAGACCTCACCTCAAAAACCATGATGGGTAAGAAACACCTGAGGTTGCTGACCTCTGGCCTTCATAACATACACATTCACATGCATCACATGTACAAGCACACCCTCCCACACACACATTTTTTTTTTTTAATTTAAAAGAATATAAAGAGCTGGGAAATGGCTTAGCTGGTAAAAAGTACCTCCCTGCACAAGCACGAAGACCCAAGTTTGAATCCCCATTACCCTTGTACAAGTCAGGCACGGTGACACAGAAGTGTAACCCTAGCACGGGCAGCGGGGGTGGGCTGGGGCCTTCTGGCCAGTCCAGCTAGTTGGAGAGCTCCAGGTTCAGTGAAAATCTGTCTCAAAAAATAAGGCGGAGAGTAAGAGAGCCAATGTCAACCTCTGGACTCCACACGTGTGCACTGCATACACACATGCACACACACAAGCACAAGCACACACACACACACACACAAGCACACACCCCGTGTCAACTTCTGGACTCCACACGTGTGCACTACACACACATGCACACACACACCCCGTGTCAACCTCTGGACTGCACACACACAGCACACACACACACCCCCCGTGTCAACCTCGACTCTACACATGTGCACTGCATACACACATGCACACACACAAGCACACACACACACACCCCATGTCAACCTCGACTCCACACGTGTGCACTGCATACACACATGCACACACACACACAAATAATGGGAGTATGAATATATCAATTCTTCAGGCATTGCACACACAAGTGTACTTACACACATCCAGGCAAAACACACAGATAAAATAAAAATAATGGATCTTGTGGGCTGGAGAGATAGTGCAGCAGTGAAGAGCAATGGCTGCTCTTGCAGAGGACCAGGGTTCAGATCCCAGTACCCACATGGAGGCTAACAACCATCTGTATCTCCGGTTCCAGGGGAATCTGATATCCTCTTCTGACCTCTGCAGGCACTTACACACATGCAGGAATATACTCATACACATAAAAAATAAAAATACAATTTTTTTTTTTAGATTGGGTCTCCCTGTAGCCCCAGCTGTCCTGGAACTCACTATGTAGACCAGGCTGGCCTTGAACTCACAGAGATCTGCCTGCCTCTGCCTCCTGAGTGCTGGGATTAAAAATGGATATTTTTTAAAATTTAAATCCCACAAATGGCAAGAGACCTAACAAAGGCATCAACACAGACTCTCAAAAAGAACAGGGTATCCCCGGGCCACCAGCTTCCTTCAGATGTGCATTTGTTGTACACATGAGGATGCCTGCCGGCATCTTCCCTAGCCCAATCCAGCAGGAAGGCTGTTCTCCATGCTGGAGTGGACTCTTCATATTACCAACACCCTTTCTAATGTCACTCCAGATGACCGGCAAAGCTGTCCCCAGAAAGCCATCCAGAATCAGTGCTTTCTCCTAGACTCTGTGCTCTAGTGACTCAATCTCAGGCACCCTTCGGGAAGGCTTACATCACACCTGTACTCTACTAACTAGGGCGGTCTCACAGTCACGCCCCCTTGCCCTTTCTTTACAATCTTGGATTATGGATTTCTTTGAAATCGAATTCTGTGTGCGACCCAACTTAGCACTGAGTCAGGAAGATGGCCTGGGGATGCAGGATCTGCCAACTGATTTATTTGCCTTCCCTCCTAGTTTTTGCATTACCTGCAGTTTAGTTGTGTTCTAATGCCGAAATTCATGACAAAAACAGCAGATGTCACTTTCAAGGCTCAAAAGAGCAAATCTAGGTCAGAGCATGACATGCTGCATGAAGCCACGGGGGCATCTGGAGTGGGCTGTAGAGGAAGCCCTAGCTGAGACTCTGCATGTGAAAGGTCTTCTTGGGAAATGGGTGGCATCCCAGGGTGAGCAGACAGCACAGCCCCGCCCTCTACTCACAGGGCACCAGGGCAGAGAGCAGTACAGCATGAGGCCAAGGCCAGCACTCCACAAGGCCAGCTGCTGCAGAGTGACAGTGGGAGAAAGTGTCCCCTCCACAGTTGAGCCCCCACATGCATGCCCAATTCTACCTGGAGCAGAAACGAAACAGACACAGGAGGACCTGGACACTCCCAGTGCCACAGTGACAGAAGTCAAGGCCACCAGCTGGCTGGTGATCTGTACCCTGGAGGCTCAGAACAGGCCTCCAACAGCTTCCTGAACAGAAACCCCTCCAGGTCATTAGATGCCAGGATACAACTCACTTGTGGCAGCAGCAGCCAAGTACCACTGTGTTTGCAACTAAAAAGGGGGAAAAAGAGTCTATAAAAAGGTTCTGCATCCCCTTAGAAAAATAAGGCCAATTATATTCAAATCTCCAACAAGCTTTTCAATTGCCATCAATCCTAAATATGGAGTCTTTAAAAATTCCCATGTCCCACTCATCCAGATGCCTATATATAGCGCAAGGCACGCGTGGAACAGTGTGGGCGCCTGGGCTTTCAGCTTGTCTGGGCTGTGCGCGGACGGCAATCCCACAGGGCGTGCTGCCAGTCAGCATCACCAGCTCTGCCACAGGGCCGCCGTGAGATATTCACAGAAAATGCCTATGCATTGATTCCACCACAGGCTTAGAGTGTGAAGGGCCAAGCGTTTGGCACACAAGCACTTTGTTATTTTAATGTTCACACACCTTAAATACCACATGGTGCCACCACTGTACAAGGCTGGAGCAGAAGGGCATGTCCCAGTGGAATTCTGAGTTCAAGGTCATAGGACTGACAGGGAACTCCAGTCAAGAAGCCCATCCTTACAAACACTCTCTTCTCCCAGCATGGTCACAGCATGGCCTGTGCAGTAGCCCCTCTCCACAGAGCTTACCTGGAATCTGGCACAGCCTGGCTTTCAGCGACCCACACAGGCATTCCACCACACCAAATATGGTCCCACCAAATACGGTCCGGCACTCAGCACCACAGAAGCCAGGTCACAGCCCACTGCTCACCCTAACAGTACCTGTCAAGCTCTCACATCCCTTGCATTGCTCTCTTAGCTTCCCTACACACTGGTCCCACTCCACCCACATGGCCGTACCTCTAAGGCTTCAATGCATGAAAATGATCAC